ACAACCTCAGCTGGAGCAACAACACCACCAGCCTGATCAAGAAAGCTCATCAGAGACTCTACTTCCTCAGACGGCTGAGGCGAGCTGGTCTGGGAAGCTCAGTCCTCACCTCCTTCTACAGGTGTGCAGTGGAGAGCATCCTGTGCTCCAGCATCAATGTGTGGCATGGAGGCTGCACAGCTGCAGAAAGAAAAGCTTTGCAGAGAGTGGTGAAGGCTGCACAGAAATCTGTTGGAATCAGCCCCCCCACCATCACAGACATCTACACCTCCAGATGCAGGAAGAGGGCCACTTGCATCATGAAGGACCACACTCACCCAGCACACACTTTTTGCCCCACTCCCCTCAGGAAAGAGGTGGAGAAGCATTAAGTGTAGAACCACTAGACTGAGGAACAGCTTCTACCCGGAGGCTGTTAGACTCATGAATCTCTAACTAGAATAATCACTGTGAAAAACCATATCATGTTGCTGCTGATCTGTTTCATGTTGCTGCTGATCTGTTTCAATGTTGCTGCTGATCTGTTTCATGTTGCTGCTGATCTGTTTCATGTTGCTGCTGATCTGTTTCATGTTGCTGCTGATCTGTTTCATGCTGCTATGTTCATGCATGCTCATCTGCTCGCACAAACTCATGTTCGTGCTGATGTTCGACATAATGTTTTATGTTATGAGTGCTTGGTGTATTTTTAGTTGATGTTTTTCTTAGTTCATATCTTAGATGTTGTTACTGTTTTTCTTATACATTTTATTGTTGGATGTAACTGGGACCCTGTGTACATAATTTCGCTCCACCACATGAGGTGCAAATGACAATAAAGAAACTCTGACTCGGACTGAATTTTGTTTGGAACTTTGTATTGTGAACTGTTATAAATAAAGGTTTTTTTTTTTTTAATAAAAAAAAAAAAAAGTGTTCAGCCAGAAATGAAGCTAACCGAAATTTGATGACAGGAATATTTTTCAAACAAGCATACTCACAATTTCAGTAGCTTTGGTTCATTATCAACAGATATGCATCAAAACTGGAGTTTTGTTTAAGTTGTCAGAAATTTAAAGATGAAAAATGGGGAGAATGTAGGAAGTAGGAGGAAAATAAGGTTGGCCTCCTTCGTACAATGTTTTTGTGAAGACACTCCCAAATCTCCCGTTTTTTTGTTTTGAAGGTTTCCCAAAGGAAAAGAATTGAGGAAGAGGTGGGAAGTATCTTTGAGGAGGGAGGAATTCACTGCAAGTGATTCAACTGTGCTGTGCAGTGAGCATTTCAAACAGGAGGACTTCGATAAAACTGGTCAGATTGTCCGACTGAGAGAGGGTGTGGTACCATCAATTTTCAGCTTCCCGGCTCACCTTCAAAGTGTAGGTGCATCATTATAAGTCCATTGGCGTTCATAAATTTACATATTTTATTGCCAATCACAAGGTGATCTATGTGTTCCTCCGTGTGTTTATATGTACATGTACACAGACTGTAAAGTTCATATTCATTATGCTTTATCATTTCAGCTTGAAAACTGCAGGACAACAGAAACCTCAATAAAAACTGAAGCTGGTCTGTCTGTGGCCTCTCGGGATGCCCCAGAAACGTGCAGGTCACACCCACAACCTCAGCCCATTGATGTGAGTATTTAAATTTTAAGCATCATGTTATGATGGTAGGGATGTGATGTTACGCTAAAATCACATTTCGGCTCGGTTCGGTTAATTTTCGATACAAAAAAGGCCAAAATGAAGACTAGCAAAATGTTTATTTTGAAAATATGCCGAGTAAACAAGTTCAGTCATTACAGACTTCTTAGCTTGAGGTGATCTGGTGGATGAAGAAGACTCAGCTGCTATCATCCTCAGACTGCAAACAACACAGAGATAAAAAAAAAAACTGAGTTAAGATTATAATTTTAAATTTAAAAAGTTAATTAGATTGCAATAATACAATGGCAATACCTCTTCTTGCACGGTCATCATATGAGGTGGCTGAATATCTTCTTTTGCTCATCTTCGATGTGGCAGAGCTTTAAATCTGGGGTCGGGCTTGTTGACGATCTGTTTTAGCTTTTTCATTAATTGCTGCTACAACTTGTTGGCTGAAGTGTTGACATGATGGATGTCGTAGGCAGCGGGGCTCAAGTCTTTAATCATATGTGTAAAACCGGCGCCTCAACAACATTCAGACGTAGATCCAGAGCTTTAAAAACTCATACAGCTTATGTGTTATTGCTTTGGACCGATCTGAATTACCTGATAAAGGTTGTTTTGCTGCTGTTATCGGTCTTTGCAACAAGCTACGTTCACATTCGGATGATGTCGTTTCAAGAGCGTTAAAAAATTAGACGTGTTGCCTGCTGCAGATCCAATCTCCGTGAATTGTTGGTTACGTACTGTAACCCCAGATTCTATGAGTATAGACGCAGCCCGTTAAGGCTATCGCTAGTGGCTTTATCTCTTCGCGTGCAGCGCAGCACTGAAAACTTTAGTCCGTGCCAACCAGCTTTTTTTCTTCAGCCATTTAGGAACCAGTGAGGCCCAGAGCTTAAAGGGCTGCGGCTATACTCATAGAATCTGGGGTTACACTACGTAACCAACGTTCTATTTCATATAGGCTTCGTCCTTTCAGGCTATCGCTAGTGGGTTAAAGGTGTAGCAGGATTTAGTCTATGCCTCACTGGGTCCATCTAGACACAAACATGAAGCACCTGCCCGCACAAAAAAACATTTCATCACTCATCCTTCTGTGTGCGTAATTATGTGCTTCATGCACAGCAGCGCACCGGAGTAAAAAATGATTTCTTGTGAGAGAAAGGCTGAGATAACAGACCTGATGCTGTGAATAGGATCAACTGAGGTTACAAGTTGTAACTGTAATGATGGGCAGAGCAGGCCAACAGCTCTTCAGGATGAACAGATCAATAACAATAACATCAGCAGTCATGAACTGTGACTGATAATAAATATCTCACACTACGACTGCATGCAGGTAGGTGTAAGCCCAAAATGAGGCTCCATGAAACAAATAATAATCATTCTGTCAGAACCCTGAGAACAGAATGGGTCATGGAGAAAGTGAAAACATCACGTAGATAAAAACGAATAAATGAACATGGAGATGACCAGGCAGCTGCCATACAAATATCCTCCACCGTCATCCCTCCATGCAGAGCCGAGGAGAATGAAATCCCTCTGGTGGAATGTGCTCTGAGATTCTCCGGAGGATCCAGCCCAGATGAACTGTAAGCTTCAGAAATAGCCTCACACAACCAGTGTGAGAGGCGCTGGGTGGATAAAGGACGTCCTGCAGAGCTGTCCCTGTAATGCACGAACAGACGCTGAGAGCGGCGCAGTGCGGCTGTGCGCGCCACGTAACACGAGAGCGCACACACGGATTAGAGGAGGTGAGATGTTGCTGCTTCCTCAGAATTATGAGGAGGAGGATAAAACCCATTCAAGGTTATCACTCTCAATCTGAATGAGCTTGTGATGCTTTTAGGAGTAAAAGCAGGATTAGGACGCAACACAGCTGAACTGCCATCAGTTTGAATTCTGAGACATGAGGGAGCAACAGAGAGAGCATATAAATCACTCACTCTCTTTGCAGATGTCAGAGCTAACAGCAGGGCTGTTTTAATGACAGAAATTTAAGTGAAACCTGATCTAAAGGCTCAAAAGGAGCTTTAACCAGTGCATGCAGAACCATCGCTAGATCCCACTGTGGGGCTAGTGGACATGACACAGGTCTGTGTCTCCGTACACCTTTCAGAAAACTCTTCATCGGTGGGTGGTTAAAGACTGTTCTGTCACCAAAACCCTTATGACAGGAAGAAATAGCTGCAGAAAAAGTCTTAATTGTGCTGAACGCTAATTTTCTGTCCATCAGCTGTTGCAGAAATGACAGCACGCTGCCTAACGGACATGAGATGGCCTCCACGCCTTTCTCTGCGCACCAGCACTGAAAAGCTGTCCACTTTGATGTGTATAGTGCTGTGGTGGAAGCGGCTCGTGCGCCCTGGAGCGTACGCACCACATCCTGTGGGAGGCCCAGCCTTTCTAAGCGGATCCGTTCAGCAACCAGACCCAGAGGTGCTGACCTATTTCTGGGTAGCTCAGGAGGAGCGCGTCTTCCCTCGACGGCAGTTTCCACGGCCGGCCCGAGACCAGCAGGTTCAGGAACCATGGTGCGCTTTTGCGCTCAGGAGCTACGAGAATGACCGACAGCTCTTCCTCCTGAACTCGGTCCAGGGTGATCAGCGTAACTGGAGGGAACGCATAAAGGAGCATTTTTGTCCACCGGCTGTGAGCGAAGGCGTCCACCCCTAACGGTGGATCGTCCCATGGGCTCGGTGAGAACCATAGCTGACACTAGGCATTCTCCTGTGTGGCGAACAGATCCACTACTGCTCGGCCGAACCTTCTCCAGATCCGAGAGATCAGCTCGGGATGGAGGCTCCAGTCCCCGTGGCGAGGATCACCCCTCGACATGATGTCCGCTCCTCTGTTCAGGACGCTGGAAATGTACACTGCTCTGATGGAGAGCAGGTTTTTGTGTGTCCAGCACAGCAGCTGTGTTGCAATGTGTAACAGTTGCGCTGACCGCCTCCCTGATGGTTTATGTAGGCTGCTGCCACTCTGTTGTCTGTGTGTATCAGAACATGTTGATCCCGCAGCAGACGGGAAAAATGCTGAATCACTTTCCAGAATGTGAGAAGCTCCAGCACGTTTATGTGAAAAGACGTGGTCTGTCCACTGTGCTCCTACCACCTGGGACAGACACGTTCCTTACCAACCTGATAGGGTCGCGTCCGTGAAAACTGAGACGTGTGATGTTGGCCTGCTGATGGGGACTCCCTCTGACAAGATAAGGGGGTTTCCCCAGTGATTCAGGTCGGCTCTCACGGAGGGGGGGGGACAGAGATCATCAGTCTATTCTGGCGCATAGGATCTATGCGCAGGCGAGCGAACCATCTCTGAAGGCGTCTCGTGAAGCAGGCCCAGCGGAACCACAACGTTAGTCGTTGACATCATCCCCAGGAGCCGCGTGACAGACGGAGCTGTCACTACGCTGTGGGGTTTGACACGGCGGAGCTGAGCTTACAGAGCGTCAGCTCTTGGCTGTGATAAACAGGCTCTCGTTGTGGTTGAGTTTAGCTCCACTCCCAGATAAACAATCATCTGGGACGGGAGAATGGAACTTTTTCCCAGTTTATAGAAACACCCAGGTTTAGCGGGTGTACCGCTAGCGTTTTGGTCTGCGCGGTTGCTTCCTGCATGGATCGAGCTAATAAGAGCAGATCGTTTAGATTAAAAAAGGATTCTCATTCCCGCCATGTGTAATGGCTGCAGAGCCGTCTTCACACATTTTGAGAATGTGCGTGGTAATAACCGAACGGTAGCCTGTTATACTGATACGGAATCCCCTGGAAGGAGAAACGCAGAAACTTTCTATGTTTCGGAATGATGGGAATGTGAAAATATGCGTCCTTCAGATCTATGGAGGTGAACCAGTCGTTCTGGTGAACGTTCTACAGCAGCTGTTTGATTGTCAGCATGTGGAATTGTCTCTCCAATGATCGATTTGTTGAACATGGACAGGTCGAGAATGGGTCTCATCCCTCCCATTTTTTTCGGAACCAGGAAGTAACAGGAGTAAAACCCAGTGTTTTCCTCTCAGTTGGGAACTCTGGAAATTACGTTTTTTTATCAAGAGTTCCTGAACTTCTGACTGGAGAGACGAGCTCTGTTCTGGAGATGACAGAACTGTCTCTATAATCCCTCTGGGGAGGTGAGCTGTGAACTGTCCATCCACCTGTCTATGGAACACACTTGTTGCCATGCTGAGTAACGCTCAGAGAGCGGGCGCGTATTTTTGTTATGTCATGGTTCTCATGGACGTCAGCCAAGCTAGAGCCCCTACCGCCGTCATCTGCTTCGGAGATTCTCATGGGGGGGACTCAAGGGGGCTCAGACAGAAAGGGCTGTCTGTATGCCTCTGTATTGTGCTCAGGCTGCAGGCTCACGTTAGGACTGAGGTGAGCCGGTGCGCACTGAGAGGAGGCGTGGGTGCTTTTTTGAATGAGACGTTGTTTCGGGGTGGGCTGCTGCTGCCGTGGAGAAACACGTTTACTCCCGCTGCGCGGTGAGTGGGCAGAAACAGCAGAAAATAAAATGGGCTCTGGCTGAGAACGAGGGATTTTCCCGGACTCGGTCTGCTGAACAGCATCAGTTTTAGCTGACGTGGCAGACGAGTGCTTTGTGAACTTCCTAAAACGCTGTTTAAAGGTTACAGAGTCATTCTGTGTGGGGAATGTGTGAAGAAAGGCCGCTGTGAGATCAGTTGATCCGACAGTCAGGCTGGAATCAGATGAAAATTTGCTCTCTCTGAGATGTTTTTGTTTTATTTCAAAACGCACATCAAAAACACACACATTCCCCCCAAGGAGTCATTTCTTGAACTGCCTCCTCCGTGGGCCCTGTGGCTGGCTGGTCCAGGGCGGGGCTTGCTGATGGCCTTTGGGGAAGCACTGGGTCACTGGTTGGCGCGCCGGGAAGGACTGTTCTCTGGTGGAGGGGGCCGGTGGAGGAGTGGGGCGTGAAATCGTTGTCGTAACCGTAGAGCACCTCTGCTGTTG